AAAAAAAAAAAATTACAGCTGGCTTCCGTTTATACCTAATATAGATGTTGAACATTTGTGGGTAATTTGTTATCAGCTTAGGTTATTCTAACCTAAATTAAAAAAAAAAAAATGTGGACCGAATTCAACATTTTTGTTAAATTCTTTTTTCTAAAAGTTAAAAAACATTTTGTAAGGTTGGTGACTACATCTGTCTATAGGGTATTCAGCACTGGAAACAACACAGTGACTTATTTATCAACGATTAAAAATGCCCTTTTAGGCTATTTTAGCATAAATTTTTGGGAAAGTCCAAAGCTACTTTGAACATCGACATCTTGCCTAGAAGACTGGGCAGGAACTTCTGTTTTCTACCTTGGTCAGAGCTAAGTCTATGTAATAGCTACCATTTACTGAAAACTGCTATATACTTAATATTATAGCTATGTTATCTTATTTAATTCTAACCCAATACTCCTGTAAGGTGGGAATTAGTTATCATTAACTTTAGGTGATGAACTAATTGAGATTACTAGTCACACAGTAAGTGGCAGATTTCAAACCTAAGTCCAACTGATTCCATTGGTCTGGGTCTTCCCTACAATCCTAAGAGGATAAAAACTCATTCACATTCTGCCCTGACATAGGTGTCTTCTTCTGTGCAGACTCCTGGTAGAGGGCAGTACTCGTGCTTATACAAACCAGCCTCAATCCCCCAGGCCCAGGGAACTGTGAGTACCCAGGACACCACCAAAGGGAGACAGGCTGGACCAGTAAGTGGAAAAGACAGAAAAAAAGGGGAGGGATCAACTAGGGCTTTGAAAGTTAAGGGTAGAGAGCAGAGTAACAATTTGGGGCAGAGATTTGTCATAATTTGGAAATGTTTTATGAGGCAAACTAAGTGGAAAAGTTTATAATTCCATCTGAGCAAACTACTTCACCTCCTGCAGTCTAGTCTTTTCATGGTATAGATGAGGAAACCGAGGCTGTGAGAGATCTGTTCATTTGCCCAAGATCACATATTCAGTGAGTTTCCATTTGATTTATGAAAAAGTACATCTTACTTCCTTTTATGCCTAATATAGTCTGCATTTGTTAGTAAGTATGTTATCAGGTGGTTAGATTCTTCTAATCTAAATTAACAATTAAAGAAAAATCAGTGTAACAATGAAGACTGATCTGGTTTCCATTCATAAAGAGTGTTTTTGTCCTGAACAAATAACCTAAGTAAGTATTTTGAGTTCCTTTCCCAATATTTTTTTTAATGGACTTTCATAAAGCCTAACTTTTGAGTCAGATTTTCCTCAACCAAATTTAGTGTTTGAAACACATCATTTTAATGGTTAAATCTCTATGTTAACATCTGTACATTTTGCCCCTAAGATCCCTTCCAGCTCTGAAAGTTTGAGATTCAAAAAAAAATCCAGCCCAGGTTGCTTTCTATGTCAGGTAGGCCAAGAGCTGGACTCCAAGTCTCCTGCCTCCTGGGTATGTGGCCTGCCCACTACCCGGCTCACTGGCAGTGATTTTCATCTGGTTAGATGGCTCTCAAAGGGGGCTTTCTAATCGACTCTCAGCTCCACCCTGCCTGGGAATACAAGAAGAGCCTTATCCTGCTTGCTCTTGAGGCAGTAGAATGAAGGGTTGGGTGAATGGATGTGCCTGATAGGTTTGAACTCCAAGAAACCTCCTTCAATTCTTATATATGGCTTTTTCACTTCCATGCAGTAGCATGTGTGTAAGATGTGGGAAAGGAGCACACACTTACTGGCAAGGACCAAGCAGCAAGCCTTGGGGATCAAACTGGTGGAAGATGGGAGAGGTGAACCATGTGATTTTCAACAGAAAAAAAGTGATAAGTGACTCAGGGCTGCAAGGGAAACTATGGCGGACTAGTTCCCACCACACCCTGATCCAACTCAGACTGTCCCATTTCACCATTTTCAATATCACTACCTCAGCTTTAGCAACAGAATAGTTCCCGCTTTCATTTCTCAGTGCAATTAAAACATTGTGCACACGTGGAGACGGAGACGGAGAGCATTCCTGCATACTTAATCACATGTTCATTTGTGGCCACGACTGTTGCAAACAGGACAACAGGCATTTCTAGACCCTGAACTGGCAAAATACATATGCAGCAAGTCTGAGTTTCTTCTTTCTGGAGACACTGAAGAGGGAGGGTGGGGATGTAAATGAAGGTAAAGAAGGAAGAATTCTTACAGATTGGTAAAATCGACCCCATGTAAAAGTATAATCCTCTTTTCCTATCTTTCTGCATCCTGGACGACAAACATTCCAAGACTCAATCTGGGAACAAACCCATTTGCCTCCTCTCCTCTCAGATCAAAGAATGACTGTGCCACACAGAAGGCCCACGACCACACACCTCTTCTCACCAGAGCAGCTTCACAAGCTGCAGGGAAACGTCACCTCCTTTGGACAGAAGATAAAAGCACATACGGATTTTCTTGTACTGAATTGTCTACCTTTCTTCAGGTCTCTGGCTTGCCCCCTGCAAGATCTGTGTCTCTCCCATGGGCCCTGCAGCGACACCTGGTAAAATGGCAGGGGGCTCACACAGATGTGCTGACTGGCTGACACAAGGCTGGGGGCTCCTTTCTCTGCTCCCACCACTAGCATGCATCTTTAGCTTTGTTTCATGAAGCCACTTCCTCAAATTGGAGAACTTGCTCCATGAGTTAAGGAATGGGCCTGAGGACTGGAAATAGCTGTGGAAGTCTTTCAAGTAGGTAATCACTTATTTACC